GAGTGAGTGAGAGAGAGTGTGTGTGTGTGTGTGTGTGTGTGTGTGTGTGTGTGTGTGTGTCCTTCAACACTTACTGTGTTGCCTAGGCAACTGTGCTTACAACAGGCAACGGTGAAACCTTCTGAGTTCTGGACATATTTTGATAGGACTGTCGTCACATTAGTGGAGAGGTGGGTTCAGACACACACACACTCGCACTCACACGTTCACACACACACACACTCTCACACACACACACACACTCTCTCTCTCTCACCCACACACTCTCACACACATCCACACACAATAGCATTAAAATATGTTAAGAAATCATATTTTAATGCTATTATTTTATTTGTACTGTGCCAAAACTGTGCAACTGCAAATATATACATTGTATGTATACATAAAAATTATATTAAAATATGTATTTTTGAAATTATTATAATACATTATATCAACACTGAGAACACTGGTAAAATAAAGTCCAAAGTAAAACACCCAGATGCATTCTGGTAATGAGAATCTGGAGGGTATATTTTCTTAATTGTTTCCATTTCTTTGTGCAACATTTAATTCTTGAGTTTGGGATGAAATATGGTATTTAAACAGTATTCCAATAAATTCAAATCACAAACATGTCAGTGTTGTGGTGCTCTTTTGCTGGAGAAATCAGTGTTATTTTAGTATGGTTTATATAGTATATAAAAATATTGTTTTTAAAAAATATATATAATATTGTTTATAAAATATATAGTATTTTATTTTATATTTTCATTTTTGTTCAAGTTTTAGCCATTTTATGTGCTTTTGTCGGTTTATTTTTTATATTTCTATTAATTTGTTTTTATTTCGGTTTTAAGTTTTAGTAATTAAGTCATTTAACTTATTTCTAAATTTGGTTCAATTTGAAGTTTTTACCCTAATACTTCTATTTTATTTCATTTCAGCATAATTTCAATTAATGAAAATGAATTGTAACAGCTTTTGATATAATTAACAATAACAACACTGAGGGACGAATGTAGAAGTGTAAACTTGAATAAAATGCATCTGATTTAGTTTTGAAAATGCTACAGTGTTCACCGATAGAAATAACAATGTCACGTTCAGATCAGCGCACCTCTCGAAGCGGCAGGTGTTGAGTCCGATCTTGATGGAGACGGCGCTGCCCGAGTTCAGATGACTGCCGTGAATAGTGATCCTCGTTCCTCCGGAAATGGGCCCGTATGACGGCTGCACGCGAGTGAAGTACGGCGACTGGACACACACACACACACACAGAGTTTACAATGACATTACTAAAAAATTCAGTTAGAAATCACCAGGTGTGGCTCATCTGTAAGGGCAGGTGGCACCAAAATATTCACCCAAAATATATGAAGAGTTTTTGAAGAGTTCATTTGCAAAAACCGATAAATGTCACTTTAAAAAAAAAAAAAAAGAGTGGAGTGCCGTGCATTATTCTCCACATATAGCGCGATCTGAACCCTAAACACGTTTTGTCAAAAAAGCCGATTTTGTCCACTTTTTTAAGGCATCACGAGTTCACGTTTTACTGCAGAAGCAGACAAGCACCCTTGCGGTTTGTGAACAGAAGCAGAGTTGCCAGGTTTTCACAAGAAAACCCGCCCAATCGCTACACAAAACTAGCCCAAACGCATTTTGAGATTTTCCCCAGTTAAAAATCACGTTCTGGGGGGTAAAATACATGTTTTTTGGTGGGGTTCCCCTGCTAAAATTCGCATTCCAGGGGATAAATAAGATGTTATTTGCGTCGCTTCAACACGCGGACATGAAAAACAACCTGCGGCAACAGTGTTAAAGTTCTATTTTTTTTTTAAATTGTTCAATTTAATAATAATAATAATAATTAAATAATTTAGTAATTGAATAATCGTTCATTTATGTTACACTCTGTTAGTAGCTTGTACTTGTGGTTGTTGATCAGTTAGTAAGAAAAATATCTACAAAAATGGAAAAGGTACTAGTAATTTTCCAGGGCAACTTTTGCTATAAAACAAACTTTTAATAAGTAAAAAAAACATACTTTCAATTAACCTTAATTTTGCAAATGACCTGTATTTGTTTAAGTTATTATTACTTAAATCAAAACAACCCAACTGCAGTTTAATTGATATTACTAGGAATGCGCAATAAAAAAAACGTGATTTCTGAAAAATAAAATAAAAATGGAGTTATCGGTTTTTGCAAATGAACTCCTCGTATATAAACTCTATATAAACTGAATAAATAATAAACAGTAAATGTGTTCATCATTCTGCAACAAAGATTTTCCTGATCATTTTAAGTCATAAAGTGCGCAGGATATATTACAATTCACGTGATATATTAAAAAGGCACGTAAAATGATACTAAGTCGACACAAACTCAACAGCGCCTCACAAATGATACAATGTAAATCTGTGGTGAAATCTGGAACTGCAGCACGCTCTAATATTGAGACTGCCCCGCTTATTTTCTCATCTCCAGACAAGACGATATCAGTCAGCTTCAGCTACATGTGTCTGCATCAGGTCTGTAACTAGCTGGCATGTCTGTTTTTCCTATATAGAGTAGTGTTTGAAATGAATCAAAGTGTTAATCCTTTAGTTTAACTGTGCTCATGCGAAAAGCCTTTATAAATTTCTGTTGTGTTTGTATTGAGATGAGACATGATATTCGTTTCCTCACTTAATAACATTCTAAATCAACATTCAGAGACAATATTAAGGCAATCAATCCATGGCATTCTATAGGTGCGTCCCAAATCGCATACTTATGAACTATTCTATGATGTTTTGTGGTATAAATAGTGCGAGTAGTGCGTTCACACTGAAAATTCCATAAAGAAGAAGTGCACTTTAAATACCCGAGAAAATGAAGTGTGGAATGTTGGACACTTCATGCACTCAACTGTTGCAGCTTTAATTATGTAGCGAAGGGGGAAGGGCTATCAGACTCCGATTATGAATGACAGAATAATCTTATATAATTCGTACTCTGCATGGTTGAGTACATAGTGCAGAAGTACGTCATTTGGGACGCAGCTCATGTGTGTGTATTTCGAGCCTGTCAATCAACATTAGTGTGCCGCCCACAGGCTGAATAACGCAAGGACATTCGATCTCTGCCAAAAGTGTGTGTGCATGTGTTCAGCGATTAGACTGTATCAAGACTGTAAACTTTGTTGAGTTTATTATAAACTAGCACTACGCCCCAGAATCTGCTCCACCTAAATTTACTGTCAGGAGCCGCTGCTGAAAATCACACGGTTTGAGAGTGAAGCTCACCACAAACGTGAAGGCTTTGGGAGACACGGCCCTGTACTCCGGCAGACAGTCGCGCACACACACCTCCACCTGAGCGTCCTGCACACGGTAACCTGTGGCATCGGCCAGCCGACACACGATCCTGCAGAGAGACAGAGAGAGACAGAGAGAGACAGAGAGAGACGTGAGGGTCTTCCAGCTTAGGACAGATGGGAACAGAGTTTCCTGTGTTTGCAATGAAAAAACACAGCCGTTTGTTTATTTCCTGGAAGTGTGAAGCGCTGCTAGGATTTATTAGTAAACTGTAAAGTCACTGTCACTGCTTTCAGTACCAGGACGCAAAAAATGTCACATCAAAGATGCATTTGGAAGTATGAATGAAAGGCATAGCATCCAGAAACTGCAACAAACAGATGTCACTAGTGTTTTTTTAATAAGAGAAGGTGATTTATAGATGAGTTAAAGATAATAAAATTATGACCTATACAGACAAACTGGAAAATGATATTAAAAATTCTATAATATTTTATCTAAATTAATTTAGAATGTAAATAATTTTATATGCAGCAAGTGAATATTTATTTTGAGACTACATTTGCTATTAAATTTGTTTTGAAGATTACTTGATAATGTAAAAATAGTGTAAATGAGCATGCACAATTAAACAGCGAATATATATGCAAAATAGTGACAATGATGACGTAACATCCAATGCTGATAATAAAACAATCTACTGTTGCCATGGTTACCTTTAATCACAAACGTGATTGGCTGTTTTCCATGCACACATTTTCATGCAAATTGTTGAATGCCGAATAGGAAAAACACTTACAATCTCCAAAACGTGCATAAATACACTCTAGTAAAGTACCTCAGTTCTCCATTTCTATTTTGCACCAGTTTCTCCAAAAGTGATGATTGCGTTCTCTTGAAGCCATGATGGAGATGCTGCTTTATTAGTAAATTATTTAGCTCATTTTATTTCACAAATTAAAAACGCAAAACTTTATTTTGCGATTGACAACGCAACATCTTATACTAATGATAACAGAAAACGCTTGAGAGATCTGCTATCACTCCAGTGATTTGTGCAAACATGATTTCTGTTGGTTTGTCACAGGACACTTTACACATCAGTGGGCAGTTTCAGACTAGACGAGACTAAACACAGATCAGATGCTATTTCAGGACACAAACATAATAGATCATTCACTCAAACAGACTCATAGTTACTAATTAAAATAACACACAACTACCCATCAACCGCAGCAAAATGCATTTTATATGTGTCCCTGGAGCACAAAAGCAGTGTTAAGTCGCTGGGGGATATTTGTAGAAATAGCCAACAATACATTGTATGGGTCAAAATTATAGATTTTTCTTTTATGCCAAAAATCATTAGGATATTAAGTAAAGATCATGTTCCATGAAGATATTTTGTAAGTTTCCTACCGTAAATATATCAAAACTTAATGTTTGATTAGTAATATGCATTGCTCAGAACTTCATTTGGACAACTTTAAAGATGATTTTCTCAATATTTAGATTTTTTTGCACCCTCAGATTCCAGATTTTCAAATAGTTGTATCTCGACCAAATATTATCCTGTTCTAACAAACCATACATCAATGGAAAGCTTATTTATTCAGCTTTCAGATGATGCATAAATCTCAATTTAAAAGAATTTACCCTTATGACTGGTTTTGTGCTCCAGGGTCACACACATGTCTGTATAAACAAACTGTTTGAGACACTCACTGCTCAGCGCTGATGTATTCCTCCTCGATGGGCTGGCAGGCCACTTTCCCGATCCGCACTCCGTTCTGGATGTCTTTGAACTGAAGGCCCAGATTCTCTCCGCTGATGGTCAGTCTGGTTCCTCCCTGCCGCGGGCCGGTCTCAGGAAACAACTGCACCACGACAGATACGCAAATTACACTTTTTTGCATGAACTATCATGCAATCAGAAGTGTAAGAAGCGAGTGCATTCGCGGCAGACAAACACAAACGACTGCATCACGCGAAACCCAAGCGCAGAAGCAAACACAAACGGGTAATTGGTTTCAGAGGGACCGCTTTCATTTGACATTCACACATTTTTACAGAGAGATGGATGAAAATACGAAAGCGCAGCTTGAGAGAGAGTAAAGCAGAGGAACAGAGAGAGAATAGGTGAACATCTTCTGAACAGATGGCTCTCGGAGCGCCTATGGTGTGCTAATAATCCACGTGATAAATTCATTCTTCTCCAAATTAAATTAACACCTAATCTAATAAGTAAAAGATGACAGCGGCGCCGCACAGATAGAGCGCGAGCATGAGAAATCGAACGAGGAGAACAAAGGAGGAGTTTAATTAAGACGAGGGGGTGTGAATTTAGTAAGTAGATGTTCTAAAAGTTAATATTCCGTTGGCAGGAGAATTTGGAACTCGATGTAACGCCGCAGAGAAAATCTACAGAATAACAGAGAGTGAGGAAGAAAGAAGAAAACTTATCAGCGCCTGTAACATCAGATATCAAGGGTTTGTCAAGCATGTGAAAAGAAGGAAAACCTGCCCCCTCCCCATTGTCAAATATGACTATATAATAATAATAATAATAATAAATTGCAATAAAATATACTATTGCAATATTTTTTTTTACATTTAAATAAAGTACAATAATAGCAATAATAAACTATATTTACTACTATTAACACTATTACTACTATTAATATAATATAATATAACAACAATAATAATAATAATAAAAATAATAATTTTTTAGCTTTTATTTTAGTTGAAACCACAGGGATACCTTAAAACTTTTTGTTAGCAATATATTTATAAACAGGTCTCAATACAAGTTTGAAAGTAAAGAAAGAAAAACTAACACATTTTATAGTTTAGTGCCATGCCTATGCTATACCAATATAGCTACCATGGCTATATTCATGGTGAGAAAAGTAAATAAATAAAAAACGTGCATAGAAGGTTTTTAGAGTTAATCTTTGACCTCTGGTTTGCAGTAGCTCACCCTGGTGATGCGCGGGTGCGTGCAGCGGCTGTTTCCGGCGCTCGCGTGCATCCAGGTGTGTTCCTGCGGAGCGCATTCCTGCCGCAGAGAGCACTTCTTGTCCTGAACACACCAGCCGCACTCGAAGCTGGGGTTGGCCTTCAGACACAAACCACAGCTCTCCCGCAACGCGTAACACTTATACAGGTGCGCTGCAGAGAGGAAGAGAGCTTCGCTTACGATTCATGGACAAGAGGAAACTTTGTCATGCTGCATCGCATTCAACTCAACTCAATCAAACAATGTTGGACTTTCCAGGAAACTCAGATTTTCAATGACACAGTCAAGAGGTTTCCAAACTCATTCCAGGGAAATAGAAAAAATTAATAAAAATAAAAATAAAAATAAATAAATTCCTATAGCACTAAACTAAGAAAAAGAACTAAGATTACAATAAATATTGATAAATATACAAATAAAGACAAAAAAAAATAATTAATAAATAAATAAAAGTATAATAGATTAAATCAATCAAATAAAAAAATAAATAAAATAAATGTAAAAATTAAATAAAATAAAATGAAAAAATAAAGTAAATAACTAAATAAATAAACAAGCATTTAACAGTGCAGTCCTATAATGAGCAAATACGTATTATGTAATATTAAATTAATAGAAACAAAACATTTTTCACACTATAATCTTTATACAAGAAACCATATAGTTGGCCTTTAAATTTAAGATGATCATATTTGGGCATAAGTGGCATACAAAACATTGAAAACCCCTGACATATCTATCAATTAAAGTGTCAAGCTAACGTTGTATTCTAAGCCTCAGTGGGTCAGAATAAGAGATATGAAGTAGAAATATCCCACATTTGACTGAGAACGCATGACAGCATGAGTTCAAACTGATGCCAGCATTATGAATCACGAGCAACAACACGCCTGCAGAGCTGAAGGACAGGATTCATTTATTACCACATTGCATCTGCTTTTCCAGCTTACAAACTGTAGAGAACGTGAAGCGTGCTTGTTTACACAAGCAAACGATGCTTTAAAACATTTATAGATGCTGCATCTCTCTCTCCAGCAGCATCCTGGGGCGGTTGCTAGGCTACCGGCTACAGTGTACCGCAGTGGTCGCCATGGTTACCTTGGATGTTGTGAGGGTTGTCAATGATGAAGTTTCCGTTCCACACCACAGACAGATCAACGGGAAGATCGCTGATGTCACTTCCTTCATAGTTATACTGCAACACAAGGACAAATGACATTTAACAAAATCCAACACGTACATGAATATGAGAGAACATTTAACTAGATTTGAGCAGGGTTTGCCTGTGCAAACATGGTGCTTGCGTGATGCTAGACGGTTACTTTAAGATGTAAAGCATCTTCTCAGGTGACCGTGAGGCCGTTCTTGACCTCTCCTCTGTTATTTTCCTGTTTTATTAATATGATATTATTTATTTAAGAGCTGGGACGCTGCATGTACACTGCAGACAGTGAAGGACGCGCTCTAATAAGGGTTTACAAAACAACGTCCTTCTGAAGCACGTCTCACACGCATCCTTTCATTCGCCCTTAACTCTCATTAAAGTTTCAGTCAGTCTGTTCTCTCACTCATTATTTTATTTGCTCGGAACTATGGATGTTTGTTTTTGCCACTAAATAAAAAATAAAAAATTGTGACTTTTTCTCTCAAAATATTTCTCTTATTTTCTTGCAATTGCAAGTTTACATCTTGACTCTCTTGACTTCTTTTGTCAGAACGGAGAGATATAAACTCACTATTGTAAGAAAATGTCAGAACTGTGAGCTGATTTATTCCTCAGAGTTGGACTCTATAACTCGCAATTGTGAGTTTATAGGTCGCAATTCTGAGAAAAGTTTTCAATTGCGAAAAAACTCTTAATTCCAAGAGAAAAGCGTGAGAAATAAAACAAAAAACACTCAAAATTGCAATAAAAAGATCAGAGTTGCAACAAAGAAACTCAGAATTGTAAGAAAACTCAAAATTGCGAGGGAAAAGGCAGAATTGTGAGATATAAACTCAAACTATAAAAAAGGTCAGAACAATGTAACACATTCATCTTTAAATAGTTTTTACTAGATTTATTATATTAGATATATTGTCCTGACGTCCCAGACCTCTGTCACGGATGAAAACCTACAGGAGCGGTGGAGGAATATTCACGTGTGTGTGTGTGTGTGTGTGTGATGGAGTCAGCAGGACTCAGATGAAGAAACACAAGACACATCTGAACCCAGCGAGAGAGCGACAGCATGAATCACTGAATAGAGATTAATGAAGGAGCACTACAGCGCTTCACCGCAGTACCTCCCTCTGAGAGAAGAGAGCGGCGCTTTAAGACACACACACAACACGCAGGAATAAATAAATAAAACGCTTCAGAAAGAGAGAGAGAGATTTTGTAGCAGTCACACTCAGATAATTGCTTATTTTGAGAGCAGACCTGCATTGAGCTGTTAGAAAGCATAGCTCTCAAAAATACACACACACACCACAGAGATTTCAAAGAGCACTAGAGCAGGACATTCTCTGAGGAAAAAACAATGTGAGGCTAAGGTGCTGGTGGATGGGTGCCAGGGCGTTGCTATGCAGTTGCTAGGGGTGTTCTGGATATAGTCTCACCCACCCTCTGTGTTATTCTGGTCTGTAAATATGCCACGTTCGCCTCAAATCACTAACCCATGTGTAAGCGATGCTAACAGCGATGCTTTCCATAGTATAAAGCACACACTCATCTGTCATTCATTATTTGCATGTGCACTCAGGAGCCACGGATAATTAACTAGGCACTAACGATTTGGTCTCTCATTAGTTAGGAAATGAAAAATTATTTATGATATGAACACGAGTGCTGCTCTGTCTTACATGTATGTTATGGTAATCCATTCCCCCCGCAGGCTGCAGACGTGCGATCGATTTATTTGGCGTGAGACTGACGCTTTTGAGCAGCCGGTTAACCTCTCACCGGCGTGGGAAGACGAATGCTCGTCTAAATTAAATAAACGAGAGATGACGTGGTCAGGCTGAAGAGGACAATGTGTTTTGAGTGTGTGTGAGTGGCCTGCATCAGATGATAATAATCACTGGAAAGAGTTTGATTTCATTTACTAATATACATGTGCTATATAAAGAGAGCACAGCCGCCCACTGCAGAACACATGCTTCCTATTTCCACATCTCACCAAGATTATTACCGTTACCAAAAAAACGTTCCAAAGATGAAAACCAGCAGTGAAAACTAAATGAATAGTAAAAACGAGAGGTTGCTAAACAATAAATGCATGCATCAATAAATGCATAAATAAGTGAATAAAAGCAAGTATGCATAAACAAATAAATGTACAAATAAGCACATAAATGCATGCATGCATAAATAAATGCATTATGGATGCATGCATTTATTTATTTATGCATGCATGCATGCATGCATTTATGTGTTTATAATTAATAAAATAATAATATTAATAAACATGAATAAGCGAATAAAAGCAAGCATGTATAAATTAATACATAAATAAGTGCATAAATGCATGCATGCATAAATAAACAAATAAATGCAATAAACAAGTGCATAAATGTATGCATGCATATACAAATAAATGTATAAATAAGTGCATAAATGCATGCGTGGATATAGAAATATATGCATAAAATAAGTGCATAAATGTATGCATTAATACACAAATAAATGCATAAATGCATGCATTGCAGACAAAATCAATGTATCTAATTACACAAGATGTGCTAATCTGATATATCACATCCTGTGCTGTTAAAGTAAAACTTATAGTGACAAAGTAATATATGAACAATTGAAACCAAATAAAAAGCATATCGAAGTTAAAAAGCAAACCTCAAAAAAGAAATAAAAATACGAACTAGTGAACCTTTTCAAAACTACAATAAGCCAAGTCATCATTTCTTTCTTTGTCTTGTTGATCTGATCTCCACACAATCACAGCAGTAATCATATGTTTGGCGGTGGGAGTCTCATGTGGGACGCTGAAGGATGTTGATTTAGTGATTCAGCTGATGGTTTAATGATCTTGTCCTTCCTCTGACCCCGGCTATTGTGTCCTAAAGCAGGACCCTTGCTGCTCCGAGGATGTTGTAACATGGACCCCTGTGGGAAAACGCCTCAATCCTCCCAAAGCAAAGAAATGTTATAATAAGAGTGTGTGCTCATATCAAACTCACCTCATTCAGCCTGATTTAAGTGCCTTATTTGTTGTTCATATACACATAAAATGGCAACCAAGTATAGAATAATGCAACAAATGAAATGGTACAAAAACTCTTATATTGCTGTTGTGAGCTTAACTGTGGTAAAATCATGGCTCATGGTTTTCCACCTAAACTTCAGTTAAGAGTGAGAGAAGAATGCATCAATCCGACTCATCTTCATACAATAACTACCATTAAAATAATATTACTCTCAAGTCCCTCCATATTTAATAGTAAACGTCATTACTCTTAAGTGATTAATGATTTAAAGCAGTTCTATATCTGCAGTCCTGACACACACACACACACACACACACACACACTGGATCAGGTGCAGTGAGTTTCTAAAAGCCTCTGCTGTTCTTGAACGGCCCCCGGCTACAGTCTCTCTTTCTCTCCTCATTTTCTCTTGCTTCATTTTTCTTTACCATAGTATCTATTACTGCGGTGTCGCTCTCACACTGTAATTAATCATCATTTTTTATCGGTGTCTCCTCTAATTGGTTCTCATCAGAACTCTGCTGCACCTCACACACACACACACACACACACACACACACCAACTGTACGAGAGCCGCTCTATTCGTTTCTATTCTCCTCCCAGCGTGTTTTCTGACAGACTGAAAGAGCTTCATAAAGGAAGATGAATTGAACAGAGTGACAGATACTGTGAGTCTTCAGGGACAAATGCAGCAACGTGACACCAAGCATGTGTAACGCAGCCACAGAAACATAATGTAAACTTATTAGTTTAACTTTTTTTTTAATTATTTTTAATAATATTTATAAACCCAATCCAGAGATTATACATTAATATATTTATAAATAAATGTATGGATTATATGACTGGCATATTTATATATACATTACCATATTTATATAAATTACCTTTTTTTTTTAAAGCAATTACTAGTTTTATTCAGCAAGGTTGCATTAAATTGATCAAAAGTTTCTGCAAAGACATTTATAATGTTTTTTAAATTTATTTAATAAATGCTGATCTTTTGAACTTCTCTTCATCAAAGAATCCCGAAAAATAAGATATTAGACAGCACAACTGTTTTCAACATTGCTAATAATCAGAAATGTTTCTTGAGCAGCAGATCAGCATATTAGACTGATTTCTGAAGATCATGTGACACTGAAGACTGGAGGAATGATGCTGAAAATACAGCTGCACATCACAGAAATAAATTACAGTTTAACAGATATTCACATAGAAAATAGATATTTTAAATGGTTATATTTTTTCACAATTTTTACAGCATGTTTGATCAGATAAATGCAGTCTTGGCTTGCAGATGAGATACAGTAGTGTATACACTCAGCTTTGTCAAACCACATTTCCCATGAGCCCCTCTCAATTCCTGCATCCCATGCATCCGAGTGGAGGAGTGTGCTTGTGTGTGACGTTGATGCAGTTTTTGGGTCTGTTCTGACCACTAGAGTGCAAGAAGAGCCTTCGGATTGGAAACCACAAGAACACAATACAACCCAATCGTCCAGAGAGAAACACGCAGCCAAACCGAGACAACGAGACGAGTTTGAGTCCAAAAACACACGCCCATCTAGACAGACACAAACTGTTTATAATGCTCAAACTCTGCCAAATAAGTTTCTGCTTTCAACTAACGGACAGCAGGACGAATCCTCCACCATCTGTGCTGCTTCAACAAAACAATAAGACACTGTGTGTGTTCGGATATAAATACTGTTCTCATCTGCTGCTCTTCTTATTAGATCAATGCGCCTGTTATTAAGTGTGTTTGCAACAGTGTGTGTGTAGGAATAACATAAGTTCACTATAATCTATCCACTCCAGATAAATAACTTACAACACACACACACACACACACACACACACACACACACACACACACACGTGCACTGAGAACGGTGGATTAACCATACATTATCATTCTCATAACTGTATTGATCTGCATGCATTATCAGGAGCATCACATGCATGACTCTTATATGATCATGTGACAGGAACTTATTGATTTAGATGGTGGGAATCAATCAAACCTAACGTGATTTCATATGAAAATAACACTGATCTTTTACTCTTTAACTGCTTTATTATTTAACATGCTGAATCAATGCAGCACTGAAGATTATATCATCATACATCATCATTGTGAGTTACTCTATGCAAGCGTGTGAATGCAAACACTTATGCAAGTTCAGTTTCTTGTGTTGTTGCCACATCTGAAAAGTGAATGCTGCATTTTCAGCCCTGCCTCAAGAGGCGCTACAGCGAACATTATACAGTCTCTCAAAAGCTAAATGCATAAATGTACGGTTTTTAAAATGTTTTTGAAAGAAGTCTCTTCTGCTCACAAAAGCTGCATTTATTACAATAAAAACAGCAATATTGTGAAATATTATTACAATTTAAAATAACTGTTTTCTTTGTGAATATACTGTAAAATGTTATTTATTCCTGTGACGCAAAGCTGAATTTTTAGCATCATTACTTCAGTCTTCTGTGTCTAAAGAAGAACATTTCCATCACATAATTAAAAGAATGCTTTACCTAATCATAATTATGACATAAAAAGCCAAACTGAGACAATTTAAAATAACTGTTTTCTTTGTGAATATACTGTAAAATGTCATTTATTCCTGTGACGCAAAGCTGAATTTTTAGCATCATTACTTCAGTCTTCTGTGTCTAAAGAAGAACATTTCCATCACATAATTAAAAGAATGCTTTACCTAATCATAATTATGACATAAAAAGCCAAACTGAGACAAAAAGTCATAATTATATGAAAATAATTATTGTCAACTGTTTTTTTGACTGTCTAATAATGGTGAACTTTTATGTTAGAATCTTGACTTTATCTCAATTATGATTGAAGCATGATTTTTTTCATAATGTTGCGAAAGCATTATGCATTACAGGATCTTCAGAAATCATTATAATATGCTGATTTGCAGCTCAAAAAACACTTTTGATTATTATAAATGTTGAAAACAGTTGTGCTACCCACTGTTTTGTGGAGACTGTGATGCATTTTATTTTTCAGGATTCACAGATGTATATAAAGTTCAACTGCATTTATTTAAAACAGAAATCTTTCATTATAAATGTCTTTACTGTCACTTTTACATTTATTCATTTGGCATATGCCGTTATCCAAAGCGACTTAAGAGCTGACTTTTGATCAATTTAATGTGGGAGTGTTTAGTTCCCAAAAAATTCTACTGACCCCAAACTTTTGAATGGAGTGAAAGATTTCAGTATGCTTCTGTCACAATGAGCAGCGGTTCTCTAAAGTCAAGAGCTTGTGTAGATGCAGTGAGCACTGAGGTGTAACTCACGGTGCTTTTCTGGCACTGGATGCTGGAGCTGTTGAAGCGCAGCGCCGTCACGCTCTGCGTCTCGCCCTGGATGTGGAAGATGCACTCGTAGTTCCTCTGGCCGGACTGAGGCTGTGGAAGGTTGTGTGCCGACAGCGTGATGGGCTTCGGGACGCCGACGGGGATGAAGATCTGAGTCGACGGCAGAATCTGAGGACAGTCCTGTGAAAACAAGACCAGCATCTGTTATCATCAGCTGACTCAAACACTTCTGGAAAGAGAAATCATTCTTATTGAAACAACAAAATACAGGAAGGACATCGAGCGATCAGTCGTCCAGACCAGCTGACATGTTTAACGTTTGCTTAAACAAGCCTGATGGGGAACATATGGAGCAATGTCACGCAAAGACCTGCAGGAGAAACGAGCTGGACGCCGAAATTATCTGGAGGATATCCCAGAATACCTCACTGCTCTCTGTGTGTGTGTGTGTGTGTGTGTGTGTGTGTGTGTGTGCGTGTGAGTGTGTGCGTGTGTGT